CTAAAGCAGGGGGGCTACTTCCTCTCAGCTATCCTGGATGGCGTTAAAAAACATTAAGAAGCTTGAAATTCAATTTTGTTCTTTTAAGAGTTTTTAAGTCTTTAGAAGCTTAAAATAGGGAAAATTAGGGTTAAATCACGTGTTTTTTTATATCTAACTTTCTTTTTGAGGTCAAGAAGGGGAATAAAGTTTAAAAATCGAAATTTTCTGTGCAGTGGAATGGAGTTAGGTTTGATTTAAGTCTAACTGTTTGGGTTTTGGGGCTTTGGGACCCTTTTACGGTGAGCCAGGGGGGCTCGATGATGTTAAAATTGAATTTCAAGCTTCTTGTATTTTTAAGGCACCCCTTTTGGGGCGAAAATGCGCTTAACAGTTTTCTTCATTGGGGGGCGATTCCAGAACCTTCTTGTACTTTTTTTGAGCAAGACCTACCTCGTCAACCTGCTCTTCTTGTTTTTACTTAAACCATGAAGAACAAGTAGACGAGGTTTGCCTTGCCCAGAGTGGGGGCACAATCCAGAACCATCTTGTGCTTGCCCAGGAAGGGGGGTCACTGTGGGGTGGATAGTTTTCCATAAAATGGTATAGACCCTCATAGTTGCTCAAAAAACATTATTTAATTATTCTGTGTTTTTGAATACCTATTTGTCTGACTTCGAGCGATGAAATCACGAGAAGGAAATGGGCGGGTGAGAAAAAATTATCGTTGGCCTTGGGGGTGACGTTATTACCATTATTACAAGAACAATGATAGTAATATCACCTCCAAGACCAACAATAAAGAATGTATGTTATGCTTTTGGGGGTCCCTTTCATCTGATCGCCATTGGCTTCGGAGGTATTGGTGGGGGGTCGTGTATCTGTGTTTGAATTTGAGCGGAAGAACTGTTAACTAGATATTTAAATAATTTTTTTTGTTCAATTACTATATATTGCAAAGCAAAATATTTATGTGCTGCATATTTAATATTTAATATGATCATAATAATAAATTGTTAATACATAATAAAATTTATTATTCAACAAACTCTTATAATTATAAATATATTTTTGTTTATTATTTTTTCATATATTTTGAAATATTTATATTTACTTGAATTAAAACTCAGCTGATGATAATCATAATTATAAATTGTTAGATAATACTATTATTTGGCAAATTTTTAAATAATAATAATTTGGTTCAGCCAGTCAAATGATTGGCTGATACATACTACTATACAGTATATATTCATTTACCTAGTTGAACCAAATTACTATATTCAATGAATAATGTATACTTATTTTGCTTATAAGTAAAAATTTTAAAAATTTTCTGATTTCTACTATATTTAGTAATACACAAGAATTAGCTTTAGATTTGGTCAAGTATAGTTAGGAATTTTGCTAAATATAGGGTCTGCTAAAGCAGAGTAAATTCAATATAAGGATCTATATACTATATAATTGTATTTTTGATATTTATATAAAATATTTACTATAACTGCATCAAAAAAGTAACTTTTTAATTACACTGCTTTAGCAATTCCTCAAATATGACAAATGTCTAAAGCAGAAGCAAATCATATAATCAACTACCAATCAAATTATAGAATTTTGATGATTACTAGCAAAGCAAACCAAAAATAAAAACTAAAAACCTGAAAAATATAAAATATAATAGTCTAAACCTGCTTCAGATAAGTTAATCAAAAATGTCAAAAAGGCAATTTTGCTTATATTTAGCTATCTAAAACCTATTCTAATCCCAATATAGAATGATTCTAATCCTATAACTATCCAAATACAAATACTGCCTACATCAATAAACCACACATAATCACATACAATCTTAATACATGTTATAACCAAATCTTACTATC